GCGACTGCAGAATGAGATTCTTAAGAGATGCTGGGAGTGTTTAGAGGTGACCCGAGGCGACCCGCGTCCTCTGAATATTGTCTTCAGTAGAGCTACTTCACAGAATTTCACAACAGTAATTGTGTTAATATTAAATGTTCTTTTCCCGTTTATTACTCTAAAGTTGCTTTGAAATGCTCTGAAACGTCTAAAGTGCTGTAGAAGTAAATGTGCTTGACTTGTATGGGATCAGGCAGCAGAAATCTGTTCTGTGACCGCTTCAGAGAAACATGAAAAGTTCAAGAAGCGGCTGCAGAATGAGATTCTTAAGAGATGCTGGGAGTGTTTAGAAGTGACCCGAGGCGACCCGCGTCCTCATGAGTGTGTGTGTGAATGTGTGTGTGTGTTAGGGGTTCACTGCGGTTAAAAGCGCAGCAGAAAGCATTAGTGGAAGGAAGCTTCAGTCTGCTTCATCTGCTCACATCCACATCATGAACACACGAGCTTTCAAACGGAAAATAAGGCTTCTGGAGCACAAATACCTCAGCAAATCGCTAAATGCATATCTAATGAGATCAAAACGCATGAGCTCTGATATCTGATGCATGAATATATTGAATATAAACTCTTCGTTTAGCTTCACTTGGTGCCGCATACTATTGACTAATATTCAAAACACGCTTCAAAAGCAATCGAGCATTAAATGAAACCGTCATATTTGTTTCCTAATGCACTGCAAAAATGATTTTCTTACTTGGTATTTTTGTCTTGTTTATTTCATTTACTTGAGATGCAAAATGACTTGTTTTCTGAAAGAAAGAAAAATTATCAATTTATGATTAAAATTGTTAATCATATGATTAAAATGAACCAATATCTGCCAATGGGGTCAGAAAAAATAAAAGGGAAAACAATAATATTTTTCAGACCCCATTGGCAGATATTTGTCCCTGTTTTCAGCAAAAACATTTCATTTTCTCATAAAACAAGACGTAATATTTTGAGTAATTGTATCTTGATTTAAGAATTTGTGCTGGAAAACAAGACAAATATGTGACCCTGGAGCACAAAACCAGTCATAAGAGTCAGTGTGTGTGTGTGTGTGTGTGTGTGTGTGTGTTCGGGGAAAACACGTCTAAAGATATTTGAAATACTGAGTATATCTGAAACGATGAAGACTTTAGCTGGAGAAGATGAAGTGTTCTCTCATGGGAGAAACACGTTATTATTTAAAGCAGCTGCAATTATTTCTGTCCTAACTTATAAAGTCTGGTGAAATTATTTAAGATTCAAATATGGGAAAAATCTAAATATTGAGAAAATCAATTTTAAAGTTGTCCAAATGAAGTTCTTAGCGATGCATATTACTAATCAAAAATTAAGTTTTGATATATTTACGGTAGGAAATTTACTAAATATCTTCATGCAACATGATCTTTACTTAATATCCTAATGATTTTTGGCATAAAAGAAAAATCCATAATTTTGACCCATACAATGTATTGTTGGCTATTGCTACAAATATACCCCAGCGACTTAACACTGCTTTTGTGCTGCATGGACACATATACTAAGTAAGACACAGATATAAAGGCAGTATCATAATAATAACGTGCTGTTGTGTGAGGTTTTTCTGCTGATCTCAGCTGGATAAAGGTCGAATCGATGAGCTCTGTTTTCTCATGACTTCACACACGCTGGAGTTTCTCTGTTGTGAAGCATTGATTGGCACTGCTGGCATCAGAGCTTCAGACGAACAAACGCAGCAGCTCTGTGCTGCTCTATGAGCGCTGCTTCTGACAGAAACGGTGTTTATTTCTAATGCGCCGCTGTGTGAAGTGTGTTTTAGAAGCTGAGCCGGTCCTGATGCTAACAGACCATAGAAAAACACCTGATGATTTAGCAGATTTTTAAATGTAGCTCAAACCATAGATCATGGGTTTGATTTCCAGGGAATGCATGAACTGATCAAATGTATCCCTGAAATGCAATGTCAGTTCCTTCGACTGAAAGCATCTGCAAATGCATCAATGTGAAGTACATGTAGATTTGTGTAAAAATGTCTTGATGTTCGGCAGTCTGATCAGTGGAAGGTAATTGCGACTTTTTATCTCACAATTCTGACTTTTCTTGTTTGTGCACTAAAATGTTTAATCTTTAGAGTTTATTTTTGTCCAACCTTTGTTACGGTGGAAGTCTGAAGGCAGAATTGTGAGATATAAACTCAGAATTCTGAATTTTTGTTCTTGCAATTCTGACATCTTGCTATGTTTAACTAAAACTGAAAGTAAAAATAAAACCATTATAAAACATTTTATCTATCTCTATATATATATATATATATATATATA